CGCATTGCCCGAAGCCTCGGGTTGGACCTCCGTCATCGCTCCACTCCGCGTCCCTGGCGGGGCCCGGACCAGGTCCTTCCTCGTCTCCACGATGCGGATGCCTTTGTCCGCACTGGTGCGCGGCCACGGCCGTCGACCGGCTCGCGCGCCGGCGCGCGAGGCGGCCGAGGAAAGCAGGAAAAACGCCCGGTGGTTTGGAGAGCCGAGGTGAAAAGCATCTTCAAATGGTGATATATCGTGTGTGTTATGCGGCATGGGCCACGCTGGTGGACTGAAGTCTTGTGTGTGTGTCGGGTTTCGAGATACATGGGTTTGAACTTTGAATATGGTTTGAACATGTTTGAACCATGGGCCTAGGCTTGTGCGTTCTAGATCAAAGTCTTGAACACCCTAGTGCAAGCAATCATGGAAATTGAACTTCATTTGGTTGTTGGAGGCGGCTTTGTATGAACCTAAGACCGAGGCGATCCCTTCCAAATTTCCTCCAACAAAGATCGGTGATTGTGCAACCTGCAGAATCACAATTTGTCCACAAAGTATTCGTGCAGGAGCCTTTGAATGCTTATCGGGCTGTAGACCTCTTCAGTAGCGGACGTGACCAAAGTGAGAACTCAGTTGAACAAAAGGAACAAACTCACAGACGATCGACTGGTGACAAGTGATTATACAACAGTTACCACAGGTATTGGGGACCGCTTGTAGGTACAGACTAGGTGTCCGAATGTTAAGCTACTATGTAACTTGCTGGGGGGCTCCAGTTTTCTTCCCACTCGCAGGCCTTCAGCTCCACATTGATCATGGGACGCTGGGCTGATGAGGGGGCCAGAAGAATCGAGCAGGCATGGCCAGGCAGACACCACCAAAACCACCTCGGCGAACCTGGGCCAACGGCCAACGGGCATTGATTTTGGCGTTCAAGATTGACACAGACACATCCACATGTGTTTCTTCAAGAGTATTGCTTGATCCACGCTATGGTTTTGCTTTAGTAAGTTCAGGCATGTGTTACATCGTTCTGCCGGAAAGCTGGCCATTGACGTGGGAATCTTCCAGAACTTCATGTCAGAGCATCAAAGCTCGGGTTTTGCCGGGCCACTGGAAAAAGCTTCGAAGCTCGGGATGAACAGTGAGGAATTGTGGTTTACTTGGGTTTTGTTTAGATATATTTTGTTCCGGATCCTCGAGCAAATCATCAAGGTGGAGCCTTTGATCCAAGATCTCGGATCTCGGGAAAGTTGGAGGCCTTTGGAGCTGGGAGGTCAACGCCTTGGCTTTGGCATCCCCCAGAATCCAAGACACCACTCTGGTGATCACTCCATTGCAGCAACTGGGGCCTCTTTGACCTGAGCCGTCCGAATTCCAGCACTGAGCCGTCCCAACACCTGCCTGACCGACTCGGGCTGCTAAGGCCCAGAGGCCGTGGCCTTTCACCTCCAAGACGTTCTGGGCCTGGTCACCATCCTTATAGGTGCCACGAAACAAAAGGGGACGGTGGGGGTCGGTGGGGGGGTCGGGAAGAAATTGGATGACTCCTTCAAACGCCTACCCTAGCCCATGCTCACAGAAGAGATTCTTCATGGGTCGACTGGACATCACCCTGCACAATTGACATCACCCCGCACGCGCGTTTATGTGTGTGTGTCTCGTGTTTTTAGACATTTAAGTCAACAGTAATGTTATGTGTTTTCATGCAAGTAAAATGCGTGCTCCTGCAAGGGCAAGCATCGCTGATCCTAGCGGCCCTGACGTGGCGGCCCTGACCTAGACCACCTTGTGCCAGGCTTGGGCTGCTACCGCTGGGGATCCAGACAGCTCAAGCGACAGCTCAAGCCTGGGTCCCAGTTCGTGTTTGTTGTCGAGTTGATGATCAAAGCATAGAGATCACAGAGTGACTATAGATGCCGGTCGCATGTTACCTGGTGTTTTCTTGCTTTCATTTGTTGTTGCTTCTTACCTGATCGTGCCAGTTGACAGCTTGGTTTTTGACTTGGGGCCAGCTATATCCATGGGATAAAGCTGGGCAAGTCGTGCATTCATGGTCCTATTCAGAGTGGATTACAGGACCGCAATACCGAAGTTCGGCCCAGCCAGTGCGAGATCCGCTCGGACGGGCGGTTTTCGGCCGTGAAGAAACTCACGTCCTTCTCAGGGCAGAGGCGACCATGCCAGCAGGGGCTCCTGGAGAATTGATCGTAGATCCAAGGGGTCCAAGAGCACGGCAACAGACCAGTCGATTGAAACGAAACGCTGGATGTGAGAAGCTGGAACAGCAGAAGCTTGCAATCGGAGGTAGAGGATGAACCTAGGTGTACGTCTACGTAAAGAATCGTATAGAAACTTCTTGTGTAGAAGTTGATGAGCTTTTGTTTTAGTACATGCTTCATAGGTTGTGGGGTTGGGTGATCGACGCATAGAAGGCCCAAAGGTCAAAGAGCCTGAGTTGTTGTTGCTAGCGGCTAGCTCTTCCGTTGCCTGAAGTCCTACAGTCAGATGCATTTTCTCGCCTTGGACCCCCCTCCCCCCACCAGCCACCAGAAAGGAACACGTCAGATAAAGGTTGGTGACCCAATGGCTTGCTGACAGGACCAGCTGCCAAGCCCATCCTTTGCCAGCCCAGAATCACCAGGCAGGGCGATACAGAAGCGGCCGAGGTAAGCTCGCACACGTTAGATTCAGAAAGGTTGATCGACGGATGTGCTGGAAAGGGTGTGACACCGGTAACCTGGAAAGCGTGCATACCACAAAGATGGCACCCGTTGTTTTGGAGCAAACTATGAGACAATTCCACAGTTGTGACCAGGATCTGGCACAGAATCCAAGACCGTCAGGAACTATACAGATGTCGGTAGTCGTTGGGCCAGGTGCCCACTTGAGCCAAATGATGTGGGACGCTTTGCCTGTTTTATCCAAAGATCGACAGCAGAACCCACTGGTTTGGTTTTCATTTCTGGATCCCTCACCTGGGGCTCAGCCATGAGCGGATGGAGCAGCCATGAGCAGCCAACCGATCAACACCAGAAGCAGTAACCATCCCAAAACCTATGGACCGGTCTCCTGCCGCTGGCACCCCAAATCCTTTGCCCCCTGGACCGCCCTCTCCAGGCGAAAGCCCTGACTCTCCGGGTGTCCGGCCAAGAGGCAAGGAGTCCCAGGACGCATCCAGTGTTGAAGATCGAACACCGGCCACATGGATCCTTAGGTTGATTAGGCAAGAGGACTCCCCAACACCAGGAATTCCTGCCAACTTTTGCTGTCCCTAATCTCCATGGGTTCGTGTGTTTTTGCCATGGCGGTGCTTCAGATCATTTTGGGCCGATGGCCAACATCATCTAACATATCCATGCAAACTCATCAATGACTCGTGCGTCCGAGTCTGAGGCTTCAAGCAACGCACACCCGAAAAAGGAACCCAACCCATGTCGTCGCCACAGCGCATCTGCCACAAATGTGACAATACCATGGGGCCTGTCCTATGTTCTGCCCCCATCCCTCAACTCACCATCCACGCCAACCCGCCCACACGCACGCTTTATCTCGCCGCCAGGTAGCGAGTGGAAGATGATGCCCGTCTTCGCCACGGGTAGCTTGAACTCGGGCCAGCCACAGCCCTCAACTCAGCTCTTGCCGACAGTGCGCTGGACCGTTCTTGACGAAAGTTCATGATGCAAATCCCGGATGCAGATTGGAAATGATGAGCGGGCTCAGGAACTGTGAGAACCTATTCTTTTCAGGTAGAGTCTCAGCTGAGAATCAACCCAAAATGTGGTTGCATCGATGAGTTCCATAATTGTACCACCAAGAACCTCGCAGGTGCTGAGGGCCACAACTGGACTGGACGGGATTTGTTCTTGGCCCCATTTTTGCGCCAGAGTTTATGAATACCCAGAACACTTGATACTGTTCCCTTTCAATCTTAAAATCCTGCATGACCTTATTCATATTCCAGGATTCCATGAGTCAAACCATATCTCTGAAAGCTAGCTTGCTAGGTCATACCTCTCCATGCCGAACCTGCCCGAACTCACCCGCGTCCTAAGGTTCGTCTTCGTGCACGCGCCGAAGCCGAAGGCCAGAAGCGCTGATCAGGTCAGGCGGAGCCTCATCGGGTGCCTTGGACGTGGCTTAGTCAACGAACAGAAATGAAAGCAAACCTGAAGCCACAGGTGAAATAGTGTATCTAACTGTAACTATATGACTACATAAAATATCATATAATGGTATTCATGTAGTCAAAAGATATCGTAAAGAAATTCCGAGAGTGATGGAGCAAGGGCTTTTGTCAAGCGTGCTCCTTGCTGGTGTGTACTAGTTTGTGGGAATCAAGATCGGTGTGACCATCTTACAGCGAGCCCCCTGGTCGTTTCCCTTTGTTTGAATGGGATGGAGAGGGTCGCTACTAGGAACAAGGACGCTACTAGGAGCAAAGGGCATCGCTACTAGGAGCAAGGACGCTACTCATCCCGCCAAGGCGTGTGGGAGTGGCATCCCCGTTAGCATCGCCACAATTCAGGCATTCCGCAGGGGTCCGGGGTGGAGGTGACACCTCCCAGCCAGGTTGGGGCAGGAAAGTCTGTCGTTCACGGCTTTACGACAGCAACAAGAAGCGGAGGAATCTTGACACAAACCCATTTTTGATGATTCCTCGCGCGAGCCTGGCACTGCCCAAAGTCAGAGAATCGGACTGAGCTTTGCTGGGGTGTATCACAAGAGACCTTCCAGGCAACGACCTCGTGGAAGAAAGAAAATGGACCAATCTAGTCTACCCATTGGCTGTCTCCATATTATTCTATGTTTTCGACACACACCCATTTGGGGCTTGGCACCGCCCTCGTCGGTCAGAGAGGGGCTGGCAAGTGGAACTGGCAACGGTGTTGCATCTGCAGCCATTGGCACTCAGACTGAAACTGGTTGACTTTCAAACCACCGACTTTCATACGGATATTTATTGACCAACAGTGGCCCCGAATTGATCAAGGAGACGCCCAGCCAGCACTCCTGCCATGGAATTGGATGATGTGGATGCCATCACTGTCGGAAAGTACGTGTACTGGATGGGCCAGGATGACGATATCCCGCGTGGTCATTTGGGAGAGGTGACCAAGGCCGGTGGGTTTTGATGTCCCCAGGCTCAGACGATCCCTCTGAGGCTTTGGCTTCCCGCGGGCTCAAGCGTGAAAAACCGCCTTTTGCTTCGCCGCTTTCCTTTTCAGGTGGATGGCGACGACCGAAAGGTGAGTTTTCCGGACGGAAGCTACACCATCCCAGCGCGCAAGCTGAATGTGTGCAACCTGCAGAATGGCGCCCAGGCCGCACAAACAGGTGGCAGGTGGCATGCGACAGTCGCATGGGATGCTCCAAAGATGTGATGTGATGCTGGAAATTCCGCTCCCAGTCTCCACTGAGGCACCTTTGTCCACATGACCAGGGACGGAATTAGCTCGGAGCTAATTGGAGAAGTGAAGGGATTGGAGGAGGACAGCTTCTTGGTCTTCAGTGCAGAGTTGGTGGGAGCTGGACCGTGATTTCTAGCACGTCGACATAGATCCAACCAGTGCGTGCACTCTTGATGATATACTTTTGGGCAGTAGTAAGAAGGTCTCCAGGCCAGAAAAGACATGAGCAGCACCAGCAGCAACAGCAGTCCATGTACTGTAGTACTTTGGCACAACTATATACTGTAATACTACTGTAATGGGTAATGAACCTGGCATATACAGGTCAGACACTGCGCAAGTCTTGTGTGTCTTGCATAGGATGGCATGTCGTGTCAGGATGGCCGAGCTCGGTTTGCTTCGGCGGATAGACAGGCCAAGCTTAGTGCTCAGTTCGCTCACGGAACATCTGAGTTCAAGATGTGCTTAGTAACTACAGTGGTTTCAGAGGTTCGATAGCACAATCACCAAGGTTGGTGGTTTATATGGATCCCCATCTAAAAGACATCTTGGGTTTTGTGCCATCTACTCTGAAACCACTGTAGCAACATTGCTCATCACCCTTTCCGGCCTCACAAGCCTTCGCTCGATCCTAGCGAACCTGGTTCGGTCTCGAAAAAGGCGTATTTGACACTACACTCATCCACATCCAGGGTTGATGAGCGTCCAGGGTTCCTTCAAGATCCAAAAATCAGATCCCGGGCGAAGACTGAGGGCCTTTCAGCTCCTTCCCACCTCAGTCCAGTCCGACCAGGTTTTCAAGGGCAGACTCGCCTCACCGGTCCAAGGTTTGCAGGTGGAGATCAAAGGTGAGATCCTCAACGCGCAAGCGATCCTGGCCTAGACTTGAGACCCTTTGGACCCCCAAGACTTGAGCATCTTGAGCTCATTGCTCGGCGCAGGCTAGTCAACGGAGCCAGCATGTTCATCACTCACAGCCCGTGACGCCAGCGTGCACATGAGCCCGTGGGCGTGAAAATCATCATACGAGCTTCACGATTCCCTTTTACAGGCAGCCCTCCCCCAGACTGCCCCTATGCCCTATGGCAGTAGCATGAGATACACAAGGCCCTACGACATGTCGAGTGGAAGCTCCTCGCATCAAAAGTTCCCAAACCTCCCAACAAAGTCCAGCTTATGTGATGCTCCTGAGAACAAACCTCATCCTCATCACCATCATCATCATCACCATCGTCCCTTTGCACCATCATCCAGGCCCCTTTGCAGCCCCCCGCAGCTTCTTTCTTCGCTCCTTGAGGAAGTATTTGATCCGCAGTGAGCTCCAGCCACACCGCTTGGTCTACCGGAGCGGCTCCGACTTCACCGAGCTCGGGCGAATCTATCCGGATGTCAATGAGGAGGGCCAAGTGAAGGCCCGTCCGGCAGATGAGCATGGTGAGGTCGAACGGGTGGAACAGCCCCCGGGAGGAAAGGGCCTTGAAACCGAGGTTTTTACCGTACCATCCTGAGTTTCATTGGGTTATACACTTCTTCGGATATTCGATGCGTGAAATGAAACGAGATGCCAAGGACCATAGTTCTGTAGACTGCATCTTGGCTCTGCAACGCCTGGGGTGGAGGAATCAGTTGCTTCGAAGAACCTGCCAAGCGTTTGGATCGCCAAAATTGATTCCCACCCTGGCTGGAAATCCCAGACTGCACTTACTTCGAGTCCAAGCAACTAAAGTTAGATGCCCAACTTGAGGAATCGACTGTGCCTTCCTCCACAGGCCCTGAATTCCAGATGTCAGACAAAAGTTGTTCCTTGGGAGGTGAAGTTTGGCTCCAAGAAGTACTTCGCAGGGCTCAGGGACTTGGTCCGTGCACCGGTTCAGCTCGGGACTTTTGTGATGTGGATGAAGGCCGATGACGAGGTGGCTCGAGGCCGGGGCAAGCAACAGCTCAAATCCAAACTTCCTGGAGTTCTTTGTCATGGTTTTCTCTTGAAAGTAGTAGTGCCGATGGGCTAGATTCTAGATGGAAACAATAGAATGAATCAAGTACTGTTGTGCATTTTTCAGGTCGTGCAGTTTTTTGGCACGTCCACTGCAAAATAAAGGGTGCCCCACCCATCCGCAACCGCTCGATGAAATTTGCCCTTCTTGTGCTGGGGTGGCTCGCAAGAGCATCCCCCGACTTTGCACTGATACCGGTCACCAAAAGGGAATGAAGAGTAAGAATGGACTCATTGTCACCTTGCCACTGATCGCATCGCTCAGCTCCAAAGAAAAACGGTGTGTTTGAGGCGAGATTGGCGTGGTGAAACGCTTGGAGGATGGGCAGCCAGTGGTGAAATTCCCGAATGCTGAGCGTGCCTTCCGGCCCCACAGCTTGATCCCAATCTCCGTCCAGAAAGGTGGCTCGGTGGAGTGGGAGAGGTGGCAAAGGACAACAAGAGCATCTTAAAACCCGGCCCGATGGATTAAAAAAAACAGTCTGCTTGCATTTGGCGGGGTGCCTCACACCCAACGTGTTGTGTGTGTAACACCTACGAGGCGCGGATGAGTTGCTGTACCACAAGCTTTGTTCGCCAAGCCATTCCACGGTGCCAGGTGATTTCGTCACATGGGATCACAATGATGATGACGTACCTGAAGGGCATGTGGGGCAGGCATGGCTGGCAACAAGTTGAGGAATCAGCTCCCTCCAAAGGCTGCAAAGGTCTTCAAAAACCATGAAAGACCATTCTCGTAGCTCCATCTGAATTTCAGGTCACCTCATCACACGAAATCGTGCTGAAACGGACATCGCGAAGAACTGCATGAGGGAGCTTCCTGGATGGTTGCGGGTTGCTGTGGACAGGGACCAGGGAGAAACCCAAACTTGCTGGACGCAGGTGGTTGGCCTGAAGTTGGAGGACTCGAGATTGAGGGTGCAATTCCCAAATGACACATGGAGCTTCAAAGAGGAGGACTGCTGATGAAGCTTCGGCCGGATTGGGTGGCTTTCCAGCATAGCTAGCTTTAGTGCCCCCAACTGGCACCTCCAGTTGTGGGGGGAAGTCTGCTCAGGTTTCATGTTCTTGGTGAAGTTAGGTGGTCTCTTCCACCCGAAGCGACACGCACAGCTAGGGCGGAGCAGCTGGTTATGTCTTTTCAATCGTTGCCTGTTACCTACTCGGTTACTTGCGCATGTAGGTGTTGAAGAAAAAACTCGAGGAAAAGAAAGGAAAGAGGCTTCCGGAGACGCCAGCTCTCAATGCATGTCCATCTTCCAATCCCAAGTAGCAGCATAATGTGCACATCGACCTTTTGAAGCTGTCGCTCCAAGCTGGCGCCTCACAAACCCTTCCGATGGCAGGAGCTTCACCGTTGCCCTTTGGATGCGCGTTTTTCACGCACGGGGATGAGATGCAGTTGTTTGAGCAAGTAGAAACACCTTACACACACATCACATAGCTATGCAAGGCTATACATAGCTATGCAATGCATGAGTTTGGGAGATGCTAGCAGGTTTGCTAAGTTGCATGTTGTTGGTTTGCGGGGTTTACGGCATGGTGAAGAAGATGTTTTGTGGAGAGTCCACATGCCCTTTTGCCATCAACGCGGCTTCAGGGGGCTTGATCAAAGACGGTATGTAGTTAGTTTATGGATTAGCCTCTCGCTTCCTCGATGGCGCTGGCCATTTTGACAACGGAACATGCAGGCCAAATACACATATCGAACCAGTCATGCTTTGGAGTACTGTAATTAGCACTAAGTACGCGGATCTAGTCTAAGGCATGATTGTTCTTAATTACTCAGTGTGGCATTTTGCTGGGAAGGTTTGTAAGTAAGACAAGGGGTCTCTTCCTATAACCCCTGGGTTTTCGACACTCCTTGGTGCACTTTTGTCGAAGAAAGCGCTTCAATGTCTTTTGGGCACAGCCGGGCACAGCCTCAGTACTCCCTGCGTTGGAACGGAAACGCGCTCGCTAGCCGCCACTGGGCGATGCTTCGCCGGGGGAGGTCGACTCTTTGGTCACTAAGCGAGAGAGCTCCGACTCGAAGAGCTCGGCAACTGGTGTGAATGGCTGCATGACTCAGGGTTTTTCTCCCACCTGGCAGCGTTTCCCGTGCACGCCCCGGGTACGTCGAGACCACGAGACCCGGCAGCCCATTGACCAGGTCAAGCAGAGCACGCTCCGTGCACACACGCATTGCTTGGCTTTGCACGCAGAGCACCCCAACCACAGCAACGTCCAAGCCGGTTGGAACTCACGTCTCGGCCGCGTTCGGCGAACCGGCGGAACCGGCGTCATGGGACCCGGCCTCAGGCCCCATCCAGCCGGGAAACTTCGTGACCTGGGTCAAGGAGAACTCTGACATCCCAGATGGCGACCTGGGGGAAGTGGCCTCTTGCAAGAAGTGAGAGGAAGGGATGTGCAGATCACAGGGAAGAGAAGAAGGGAAAAAAGAACCCCCTGTCATGCAAAAAGTGTGATATCTTGACGAGTTGAGTCATAAAGCTGGTTGCTGGATTGCTCTTTGTATGACTTGTTTGAACCTTTATAATCCTGGGCGGAGGCCCTGGTCAACCGAACCTCTTGGCACCCATAAGAACTTGTAACTTGTGTTTGGCCCATCCGCTCTTGTCCGAATTCGCCGTCGCTTCTGGTCCAGTTGGCCAAGGTGAGAATGAGCGGAGAAAAGATAGCTGTCCAATGGCCGCAGGGGAGGTGTCCTGGCATCGGCATTGTTCGATGTCACAGAGGTAAGTAAGGCCACTGAGACACAGAAGTAAGTAAGACAAAAACCATTGAGAACTCAGTGGTTTGCGACCCCGAACTTTGAAGCGAGTTGGCATAATTGCAATGATCTAAATGCGAGGCAGATCCGATTCTGAGGGTCGGAGCGACGGCCTGTTCGCCGTCCCTTGCCCATGTTCATCCTTATGATGCGTTAACGACATTCTCCCCAGCCCCCTTTTGCCATGCACAAGGACCAAGCACGTTGCCTTTGTCATGGCCTTAGGTAGACCCCTTGGGAATGAACCGAATGGCACAAAGGACCTCGGTCAATGGCTGTTTCTGCTCCACCGCTCGCTCAGCTCCAGGTGGAGCATGGCACCGACCTCTCTAGAGCGGTTTGCCTTCCAGAAAGGGGACCGGGTCCGCTGGAGCAAAGCAGACGAGGACATTCCTGAGGGCTCCATCGGACAGGCGCGCAACCACAAGCCCGCAGTTCTACTCGCGCGCCGTTGCTTAAGAGCATCCTCTTTTGGGGGAGGGGAGGGAGCGTCCTAGCCTCGGTAGCGAGCTGCTTCGGACAGGTGATGGGCATCCACTATGATGACGATGGCCGTGGCAAGGACCTGTTCGTGAACTTTCCCATGGGGCGCTGGCGCTTTGCGCCGGAGAGTCTGGTGAGCCTGAACTGGAAGCTGGGCGAGGAGATGGGTGCGAGTTCGCATGACCCTGGTGGAGAGGAAGAGTCTGGAAACGAAAAAAGACAAGGAAAGAAGTCGCTTGGGGTCCAACTGCACGGAGCAGGCTGAACGGTTTTCAATTCCTATCTAGCAGGTTGGGGGCACCTTTTCCACCTGCCGCTGTCCTTAATTGCCTTGTTGTGATCTCCATGCTACACTTTTATAAGGCTACAGGCTTGGGTTTGTCATTGCCGTCTTGTTTTTCGTAAGAGGATCTCACTGGTTAAGTTGCGCCTAGTTACATCTAACTACGCCACCCTGATTGAGACAGAGATGGACAGAGCCTGACACCATCAGAAAGAGACGATGTTGAAAAGGAAGAATGTCCAGCAAAACCCTTTCGTTTGAGGTACCCAGTGCAACATGTTTGCTCTGGAGATGTTCGGTCCTGAACCAGCTGGTCATATGAGCAGTGCTAATAATGTGTGTGTTGCCCCATGGAGGTCATAGAAGCAGCATTGGACGTGTTTGGGTTTTACTCACACACACAAAAAGCAACGCCCCACGCAAAATAACAGCAAAGCTTTTTAATCGTGTTTTCGTTGCTCTGGGCTTTTGGAGATCTTCTTGGGACCCTTCCGCCAAAGTGTTAGGAACATGGAAAGCATCAACCGACTCAAGTCCTCCTTCCGGCGCTTTGATGAGAACGGAGACGGTCACTCGGCGAGACAGAGACCGCTGCGGTCAAACACGTTGAGGCAGGTCGTCGAACACATTCGACTTGACATGAAGATGACTAGCTTCTTGTTACTACTAGTAAGGCACCTGTTACTACTAGCGTGGCACTTGTTCCTAGTAGCTTAGGAGAAAAAAAACGCATGAAGCAACTTCTGAGACAAACGCGGCAAGCGTGACGCGTGTTATTCCCCGGGCTAAATGTGTTGGCATGTCATTCACCGGCCGCGACCCCGTTTGTCCAGCCAATTCCACTGAGTAGTGGGGAGCAAAGGATAAGAACACCGAAGCAGCGGGCAAGAATGCGCATTGTGGTAAAGTGTGTGCCCACCTTCATTCTTCCGTTTGTTATTGGACCTGGTGCGTAAACCAAGATGAGTTTTTGCCAAGATTCTAAGGAAGGATCTCGCCAGAGGAGTTGACCAAGATTTTGACCCAACTCGGCAACATCAGCGAAGAGGACTGGTCCCCGGTCTGTGCACGGTACTGCCAGTTGTTGAAGTCGAGACGTGTTTTTTTGCAAATAGCAGATAGAAGGTGATGAGCAAGCCAGGAAGTCGATACACTATAGCGTTTCCTTGCAGGATAGAGTGTGTTGGAAGATGTTTTCTAAATGCATGGTTTTATTCAATGGGCTTGGTTTACTCAGCGTTCACAGTGTTTTGATTGCACAAGACCTACCGCAAGGAAGTTGGCAGGCAACCCATAGGTTGTTTCTAGAGGTTTCTATTATAGGCAGCCCATAGGTTCCCCTTCATCTTGGGATTGTGGGTCTCATATGTCCAACCCTCCAAGGGCTTATAGGGCCAACCCTCGGAAGCAGGGTCCGCGTGGAAACCTGGCTTCCGCTGTGAAGCGGGCACACTATTGAGTGGCATGAACTTGTGCCAGATGAGGTGTGCCCTTGGGGGAAAGCTTGATTGGGCTACCTTCGCTGGTGCTGCCGGTCTGCTGCTGGTTTTCTGCTGCTGCTGCCTTGCTGCTGCTGGTTGGCTACTGCCGCTGCTGGCGGTTGGCTGCTGTTGGTTTGCTGCTGGTTGGCTGCTGCTGCTGCTGGCTGATTGCTGCCGGTGCTGCTGCTTGCTGCTTGGCTGCTGCTGGTGCTGCTGCTTGCTGCTTGCTGCTGCTTGTCGCTGCCGCTGCTGCGACCTGGGCTACAAGGCCTACTCATTTGCTGCCTGTCATTGTCTTGCACGCCCTATGATTATAGCAGGCTTCTTCCATTGCAGACTGGGCATTGGAAACGTGATATCAAGCTTGGTGGCAGGCCTGTTTGGTGAAATGCGGTGCCCCATGCGGAAACAAGTATCGCAAGGACGCTGCCGTGACTTAGTCGTGGCGTGGTGTCCCAGTTCTTGATTGGTTGCCACAGCTGCATTGCAAGGACTTTTGTGTTTGGGTGTTAGTGGGCATGGGTCTTCTGGGCAAACGTGTTCATCTCGCCCAATACCTCGCCCACATCTCGCCCTCTATCTCGCCCAACCCACCAGGCACCAGGACCTCCAGAGGTGTGCGATGGGGATTGCCATTGTCACAACACATATGTGTATATAAGCAAAGGCCTCTTCAATTTACATGGCCCCCCAGGCAAGGCGCGATTTGCAGGGTTCGTGTTTTCAAGCGTTCATGTTCACATTTTTCGCAGGTGTGCCATGCGGAAGTGTGTCCTGCACAGTCGTTGAAAGACAGGAACGCGCGCACACAGACACCAACGAAGGCAAAACGCAAGCTAACCATTGTTTTTTTGTGGTCTTAGCTTACTTCTGGCAGAGATCGGAAGCCGATGTGCCATGGGCCATGGCTATAATGTAGGATTTGCTCCTGTGATGTGGGATTGCTGAAAACGGTGTGCCATGGGATGATATGGTTTCTAGCCTCTGCTGGTTGGCTGCTGCTGCTGCTGCTGCTGCTGCGCTGCGCTGTTTTGCTGCTGGTGGTCGGCTGCTGCCAGTTGCTGCTGGTTTGCTGGCGCTGGTTGGCTACTATACTGCTGGTTAGCTGCTGCTGGCTTGGTGCTGCCTGCTGTTTGGCGGCTGCTGGTTTGTTGCTGCCGGCTTGCTGCTGCTGTTTGGCCGCTGCTGGTTACCTTCTGCTGCTGTTGGGTTGTTGGTGTTGTTTTGCTGCTGGTTGGCTGCTGCTTGCTGCTGCCGCTGCCGCTGCCTGCGCTACAAAGCCTACTCATTTGCTGCTGGCTGTTGTTGCACAAACCCAATCATTGTGGCAGTGTCCGGTTGTAAGCTGGGCTTGGAAAGCATGGTTTTGGCGAAAACTAAGTGACTCTGACTTAGTCACGGTGTGGTGTCACAGAATCGGTGTGCCATGGGGGTTGGATCATTTCAGCCCATAGGAAACCTTAGAACCCATCAACGTGTAGAAGATTGAATCGCAATGGAATGGTGTAGGTTTAGAAACAATCTAGGCTAGGAGAAAAAGTGCTTGTTTCGAAGCGGTGTGCCATGGGGATTGAGAGAGGAATACACACAAGAACGCATAGATATTTCTGACGTTTAACGAACCATTCCATGCTGTTTGCACTCCAGGTAGAAACTTAAAGCTGGTACCAACATGTGGGTCAGAATCGGGGTGCCATGGGGATTGGATCACGGCAACCCATAGATAACCTTTGAAAACATCAACATGTAGAAGGTTGATGAAGGTTGAATCGCAATGGAATAGTGTAGGTTTAGAAACAATCTAGGAGAAAAAGTGCTTGTCTGGAAGCGGTGTGCCATGGGGGGTGGGTCAAGTTCATGTGCGATGGGGTAAGTTACCACGTCGGGTAGCTCTCCAACTTGCGTTGCCATTGGGATTTGCAGTTGAAGTTTTCTCTTTTTGGAATGGTGAATCTGGAGAACCTTGTTCTGTATGTAGCATTTACAATGGGGAAGGCCAGCAGTCTTGACTTAAGTACTGACTTTTGCAAATCGGCGTTCCATGGTGGTTTACTATCCCACATGCAAAATGTATTAACTTCAACGGGCACCAGTATGCAACAAAATAATGAACAAAAGCCGAGTGACCGATTGTATTTTTTTGGGGGGGTTCTGGTTGTGGAATGATATCCGATATCCCTCAAGCTTTTGACACCTTTCCGGGCACTTATGAAGATCGCTGTTGAAGAATTCAACTGCCCATTATGGTTTCACATAGCCCTGAACCAGGTCTTGAACATTCTCAATCTCCACAGGATGTGTTGGGTGGGAGGGTGGGTGGCGGGCCCAGTGCTAACGTGTGAGTGAACTTTGTGGTTTGTTGGTTTTGGGTTTGTGCTGATGCGGCGTGGCCACAAGCGAACGCTGGCTACGGAAGCAAACCAGCTGAATATGCATGATGGTGCGTTCGTGTTTATGCATCTTCAGCTCTGTTGGGCTGTGAGTCAGCCTGGAACGATTCCTATGTGGCAGCGGGCCTTGAATGACACTGGAGGCGGTGGCCATGTCTCCACCGCGTGGCAGCCTGCCCAGTCCACGCTGTGGCACGCATGACGTGCGCATTGGGCACGCAACGCCTGTCATTGGGCATGGCCTCATGGGCGGAAAGTGGCCAATTTCGACATGGTGACTGCAGTGATTCATTTGAAGCCTATTGCAAATTCGGTGCTGACGTGCAGACGAAGTTTCATGAGGCGAACGGATGGACCTGCCGATGGTTGGGCCGAATCAGCACGTCTTGATGGGCTCTGTTCGAAACGCGACTCTCCCCTTTGAATCAGCTCATCCTGCTTCGAAATCAATGCGGCTGCGTCGGTTGTTGGAATACTTTGTTCAATGGCAGGATGAAGGGTCTAAAGAAGCCAAAGTATAAATCTATGAGTTCAGAAGCTCGGGGCAGATGTTGGGACTCACAACTTGTCCGAAAAACAGGTGCCCAAACAGAAACCCAAGGCGCAAAGAAATAAATACTGTAGGGAGGAAAGGACAGTGAAAAGAAATGATATGAAGCTGGAGGCCAGGCTTTTGGTCACCCCTCCACCACTCAAAACAACCTCCAACCAATCAGAAACTGTTCTCAACTTTTTCCAGGCAGGCTTGGCCCAGGTGCAGGCCCAAAGTAGTCTGGCGGAGGAGTGCCAAGAGATCTTCGACAGCCTGGACCGGGATGGGGACGGAAAGCTGTCCGTGGAAGAGCCATTTGGATTGCAGTGGACGCCGTATTCTGCGAAATTGTCTATATACAGACTGTAAAGCCATGAGCAACAACTGACAAGCCATTGACCCAAAGCGATGTGCAAAGGGCTTTTCACGGTTTCAGAGTTTCAGGATGTTTCAGGTGCAAACAATAGAAGGCTGTTTGTCATGTGGATCATGTGGTAGCTGTAGGTTACATGCCATATTTGGTCGACGAACTTCCACAACGACTGGCTGGGCTAGGTGAAACTGGAGGCTCAGCCAGGACTTAATCCAGGCAGACCTGGTTCATAACTGGCTAGTTCAGACCATTGCCATAGCCACGGTGTATATGGCCAAATGCCGCAAAAATGGCCCGCACGAAGAACACCAGGTTCGGTCACTTTTGTCACTAAACATAGGGACTGCACCAGCAGAAGGTGCGACACTGGGTGCATTTGGGTCTCGACACAGCTGAGGACGGCACAGGTGATCACAAAGTCATTGTTTTCAGACGGTTCCACTTTATTGTTGTTTGACGGTTAAACCATTTTATAGTTCCGAACTTTTCGACTCCGGAACAAGGAAAACCATTGGAAACATTGCACGTGTTCGACTTTTCGATTGGTCGCATTCCGAATGAAAACTTTAGTATGTGGAGGATTGTGGGGGCAGAGCGTGCGTTTTATTAAACCGCAGACTTGGGCTGAGGTTTGTACATTACATTTTCGAGGGCGAACGCAAGAGTATGGACGATGGTGTTCTCCTGCACATCAGCGCCCTTGTATGCATTGGGGGCGAGCTTCAATCAGCACAGCACTGAGTAGCTACAAAGGAACCGCACGAACATATGGCGACCTGCAGTGTTCAGTTAAGTGGCGTTGCAAACTCGCATCAAGTGCAGATGGTACATGAGAAGGAACCTCGCATTCCATTATTGGTTTATTCCGCCTCGCTGTGCGGTGAACCCTTTTGAATCCGATTGAATTTTTGCTGTAGTTGCCAGGGAAATACTGGGGGTGGTACGCTCGGATGGTACGCTGCGCTCCGGTGTTGCATGGCGAGGTGTTCCGTCGGTGAAAACCCAGACCTGGGACTCGGTACGAAAGAAACTGCGTTGGTAGAGAACCTTAAGAAGGTCATCACTGCCCTGCCATGCTGGTTTTAATGTCAGAGGCCTTCTTCAGTACCCACCTAGCTCCTCACCAGGCATGGCTGATGCGGGCTCGCTTCTGGAAGAAAAGATGGACGAAAAGACCTTCGTGACCAAAGCTCAGTGGCAGGAGGTGGTGATGCAAACCTGTACGGATCCAGAGAACCAATCTGCCTTTTGGCCTGCAAATGATGGCAAATGGCGCGCGGGCGGTTCCCAAAATCACCAACCACCAGGATGGTTGGACATGTCCATGTTGGTTTTATTCATGAACACAATAAAATGATCTCACAGGGCATTTGTATGTGATTAGTATTAGTCTTTGCTGTTAGCCATGTTTTCGACCTCTGCTCCCCCAGATCTGCAGATTTTGCTAAAGCACAGTCCTCACAAATCCGGGCGAATTATATAACGCCGCCCCACTAACTGGTGCAAAGGGAACCTTCACCATCCTTCACCTACACCCCCCTGGATGACAACAAGAGGTTCGTACATTGAATAGTTTGCCTTTCCATGATCCATGGAGAAAATTGAGAGAAACTGTCCTAGAGCAAAGTAAGCTGCCAATTCCTAGTGTCATCCCGTCCCATCCTTCCCAGCTCGCATTTGCCTAGCGTGCCCTGGACTTCTTCGACGACTGTTTGATCGACCTGGAGAACTCGGACCTGGCGCAGCAGGCCATGAATGATATGGTGAACGGCTGCGAGGCCAGACTCGGCTGGACCTCTTTGGGGCCAAAGTGGTGGGTTTGGGGTGGCCAGGGTGGAGGCCGTGGTCCACAGTAACTCCACATGCAGCTTCGAGATGGTGAAACATGTTGGACGTTGCTTTGGATCTCTTTTTTCCCCCAGATAGCCAAGCTATGGGGTTCTTACTTCAAAAAACAATGAGTTGCCCGTGCGCTCTTTCGAGACAGGTTGCTGGTGCTGTGAGCTGGCTGTGCACGTGATGGAGACAGGTTGCTGGTGCCGGGTGCCGGTGCTGGTGCTGGTGCTGTGAGCTGGCTGTGCACGTGGTGGAGACGGGTTGCTGGTGCCGATGCTGGTGCTGGGTGCCGCTGTGGAGGTGGGGTAAGCTGGCTGTGCAGGCTGCGTACATCTTGTTCCAGCCAGTCGCATGTCAACAGGTCGTGGGATTCTGCCTAGCTATCTGGGTCTATGCTGGTGTAATTTGTCCTTCGCTCTCCATGTGCAGTAAAGGGGGTGTGTCCTTGACACATTGCTTGAGCTAGCATACTATCCGACCGGATCGAGCCTGGAGCCTGGGGTCGTTGTCGCGGCTTCGCCGTTGTCGCGAGGAGCGGCGCCTCGGTTGGCTGGTCCGGTTTGCTGCGGAGCACATTTCCGTTGAGGCACCGGATGAAGCAGCTTGCCACGGGTGCTGTGTTGCTTGGGGACCAAGACCTGAGATGACCGGAGACTGAAATCGGAAGAGTTCTGACTACTTCAGCTTCAAGATATGGACACACTTCGTGAACACACTTCGTGAAGCACTTCAGCTGCCGCATGCATTCATACCACAGATAATTACGCCAGGCAAAGCAGGGAGGGGGGATGTGCAAAGTGTTCAGAGCTGATGCCCTCTAAGAGAACTTGTGCATGTCAAACAGGGGGTGAACAGACTTCATAAGCAGAGCCAAATATCAGTCATCTTGAGCACACGACTCACAACATTGTTCATGGAGCAAAGGTCGCAGATGTGTGTTAATTGTGTTATCTATATTTGTGTGTGATACTGGGTTTTACACGCGATGACCATGCTGTGGTTGGGCCATTGGCCCTCCAGGATGTCCGCTCAGCGCTGGCTTGGGGCCGGCACTTGGTAGGAGTTTGAGCTAGAAGCTCGAAGGGTGTTTGGGGATTCACCCTGGAACTGACGTGTGGTGGCTTGGCAGAGTGGGAACTGAAGGGAGATGAACTTGACTAATTACTTATTTCCAGAATGACTGCATGTTGGACACCACTATTGGTACCATAGAAGTCGTATCAAAAGAAATAGGGACCCCAAAGGGGCCCCTGTTTTGATTTTTCTTGAGACATTCCAGCAGCGCCCAACACGGGCAAGACTGCCAAGCAGCCATTGTTCGAGGTGCTGAAAAGCTTTGGCGTTTGCGGTGGCCAAACGCTGAAATTGTGATGGACAACTCCTGTGCAACTGAGAACCTTAGGCTTTTGCTGCTCCCTCGGTATAAAGCCGATTCCTAAAGGTGATTCGTTCCTTAGACTCTCCATCTACCATAGCATTCTTGATATACCAACGGCTGGCAGGTCTTGTGTGCATAGACTTAGTGCCACCAAATGGGTCTTTTTTTCCAGGAGTAAAAGAACTGGAGGTGCGTGATGGGAGTCCAGCATCAATCAAGCAATCTTGAAACGATGGGATTAAAGCCCGGTGGTTCATAGCCCAAAGGAGCAAACAAATGGCATTGGCAATGGTGTTCGTGCTTGATCTAGAGGGTTAGCAAGGAAGCAGCTTAGCATACATAATTTGACAATCACCGTGCCAATGTTGACTGCTCCCTTGTGGACAAGCATGGTGCTAGGCAGAGCGACGGTTGCAAGTTGTGTTCTTTGACTCTGACCCACTCCATCCGTGCAGGTTCAATAACCCAGAAAACGGCTGCTTGGTTGCTGCATGTTGGTCCCTGAAAAGGTTTGGCTTGAGACCCACCCCAGCATCGAACGGCTGGAGGCATCACTTCGAGGGGAAGTGCCAGGACATGACACTCACTGGCTTGGAGAGCTGAGGACGTCAAGCCTCGGTTCCGACCGAGAACTCCTTGCGTTGGGCGTGGGTGATCATTGGTGATCCAGTCTTTAAGTGTTAAGGATAGAAAGCAACTGATGAGAGGGGGGAGGATCTATAGAGGGAGACATTAGCCTTGGGGTCGGCTCCAAGGCTAGCGAGAGAGAGAGAGAGAGTGCGCCAACGGGCCAACAGCGAAGATTGTTTGGAATCTGCGAAAATGCAATTGGATGCAATCCTCTTTGCATAGGAGTATGACGTCATGCAAAGAGCCACGGCTTCCTGAAAACGGTTCTGGAAAGCCATCGATAGCTTTTGTAGCTGAACCTCGGGTCAGTGAATCGATATGAATCATTATGAATCTGATCTTTGCTCCAAGGACTCCAAGGTACTGAAAAACTGTCATGGGCATTGGTCTCAAGGTCAGACATCGTTCCGGGGGCAAGCTAATTTACCAATGGATCATTTCCAAAATAGTCCTTGACTTGATGCCAGCAATAGCTTCCCCCAAGCAAGACCCGCCGACACGGCCGAAGCACCTGAGTTTTCCCCGTTTCGGCCCCATTTGTTGAGGAGAGCAGCCGGTCATGTCCACTGAACTTGTGCGATGCAACACATCGGGACTTTGCCAATGAAAGTCTTGGACAATTAGAGCTAGAAATGGAAAGTCACACCCGATGCAATCATCTAAAATATAGTCTATATATATATATAGATACCCCACTTGATCAAAGAGCAAGTGTTCAATGGCTCATGTTGCTGTGAATTTTGTGTAGGGGCGGGAAGCCCATTCAAAGTCACACGCAGGTTGGGCGTAGCAATGAACGAGTGCTGGATTTTGAGGAGGTATGCTAGAACGGCGGATGGCCCTAAAAATGTGTCCCTGGACGCTACCCAGTTTGGAATTGGAGAGATTGGTAAAGCGACAAATCATACACAGTTTCAAGTGCGGGGTGTAGAATTAAAAGCTTCGTGGTTTGTGGTCGGGAGGGCGTCTCTTTGTTTCGGACTTCCTTGGAGTAAGGCACCATATAATAATATAATAAGTGACATGATATGAATTGATTGAAAGTTCCTTTGGCCTGCACCGAGCATCCGAAGACAACGCCGCAAAAAGCGGCAGTCGGCCATTGTGATCACTTGTTTCAATTTGGAGTCGAACCCTCCATCACAGGCGCTCAAATTGCCGGAAAGGCCGGGCGCCAGGCGTTTTTCCCGACAAAGGTTGAGCCACTCACTTTCCGATTGTACTGGGCCTAGCGGTTTGGAGGGGTTCTGGGAAAACCGGGCTGGCCGGCAGGTCTCGTGGGACAACTCCTAAAGATAACTATATATATACTGTAGGTGCGCCGAGCTGGGGCAAGGCAGCCATGTTATGTACTGAGTATCGTTCTTTAAGCAGTGCCTTTTGTTTTTTTGGGGTTTGGTTTTGCTTCAGTGAACGCGTGGGCAGGTGGGATACATGCTCATCCAACCTCCCTGAGTAGATCTAGAGATGAGTTAGCAAATTGTGCCAGACTCTTCTTTAGATGATTTAGATGTGTGTGCTCCTTGACTGGCATCCAAATATGCCACAGGCTATAGACACGTGTGTGTGTGTGTGTATTAGCGCTTGATTGAAGGTGGGCCTCGAACCTTCGCTCGGTCGTCACGACCAAGGTTTTTTGTCAAAGCTTTGGCCATCTAGTGGTTGCTTCAACCTTTCGCTGGTCATTCTTGCCCAAGCCACGCACCATCCAAAATCTTTAATCTTCCTTATGCACCTGACTACCCACTACTATCCACTACTGTAGATGATCGAAAGCACTTATCACCATAAGGGTGCAAGACTGCCCGCCCTGGCCAGATCCGCTGCAAATCTTCCGAGCGCGGCAAGAGAATGGGTTCTTGAATTCGGACCGCCCAAACGAGGCACCCGAAGAAACAGCGCTTGGCTGGCACCCGGAGTTGGCTGGCACATGTCAGCTGGAAACAGGATTCATCGTTGCCGTTGTAAATACAATCAAGCCAGCTGTAGCTTCTGGAAGGGGAAGGGCGCCCAAGCTCAGCATTCCATACATTCCATACCACTGGACGCTGACCACAGGCTTCTTGTGACCCAAGACCTTTGATGGGATCGTTCTGTTCCAAGTACGGCAAACCGCCGCAACACCAAATTGGTATGCTGTGGGTGTTTTCTTACATCAACGTTCTGCTCCAAGCGAGAAACCGCCGCAACACCAAATTGGTATGCTGACAGGTGTTTTCTTACATCACTGAAGCTCATGGGGAAAAAGGATGCTGCAGGCTGTTGAACTAGGGCGCCCTGGACCATATCTTTGTTGAGATTGCCCGCAAATCTGTTCAGCAAATCATGGTGAGCTTCAATGGTTGACTTTCGCCCCGCTGTGTTAAAGAGCAAGAGTCCAGCTTGCCAGAAAAGTTCCAGGACTGTCGGGGTGGAGAATGTCCCCCGAGCTGTGCATACATGAGATCCTGCCAGGGGCTGGTAGGATTTGAACCTCAGCCCATGTCTCTTTGGATCACACTCGAAGGTGTGTGATGAGGGCTGCCGACGCTGCATTCGCATTCAGGAGGAGCGTCATCACACATGCCAGAAGCTTTGGCAGCAGATGTTGTGCAGAGCAGCCTAGGCCATAGTTTCAGGTGATGATCAAACGGTGGTCACGGTTCCCACAAGGCACCCGCTGCGTGTTCCTTGGCCGCTTCGGATCTCCAAGCTCCATCCATCCATGGAAAAACCTAGCAGTTGAGCCCGGTCCACTCATGACAGTTTACCCTTCATACAGTTGAGCCCTGGGAAGGCTGCCGATTCCAACTGGCAAATGAATCATGTGATGATGGGCATGTTGGTGAGGACAACTTGAAATTGATTGGCATTCAGATGGCGCATCCTAGGCATGAGCTGTACAGTCCAATGGGTTCGGAAAGGGGACCCGTTTAAGCGGCGAAAAAGAACTATGATTGTGCGAGGATGCCTATTTGTTGCATCATTTTGTCTTCAGATTACTATATCACATTATTTTTGCAAATGAGTTTCAAAGTAAATCACAGTACAGATGTATAGCATATTTTGCATCATAAGACCTGTGTGCAGTCCCATGCAGTCCCTTTTGTGTCAAGGAAAAAGTTTGCATGGTAGCGGAGCAAGGATAAGGGCAACCCCCCTGGATAAGGGCAAACCTGCTTTGAGCTCCAGAGAAAAGCCCCTAGGTCACTGAGATCTCGGGAGCGATTTCGAGCCATAGATTTGGGGCCTTTGGAGCCCCAACAGCTAGACTGATGATAAACTGTTGTTAGCTGCACTCTGTACCTCGTACATTGTGTCAGAAGCACGCAAGCAACAACATCAGCAGCTAGTGCGGCCCATCGTGCCCGTAGCCTCTCCCACTCCCGCTGCCACAGGACTGAATCAGAACCACACTGAAAGAGAAGTCTCTCCAGAGCAAGTTGCACCTCCACGACGGACGCCATCGGCACAGAGAAAGACCATGTGCGGCCAAACAGCCGCACAGCTGCAACCGCAGTGGAAGCGGCGCTGTCGAGGAGAGCGACAGAAGCACGCCAGAGGCGTGCGAACACAGTATTTTGCTCATGCCAGGGTGCTGTAGCAATCTGCAACCAAAGCTCCTCCATAGCTTCCTTAGTGGCCAAGGTCGGACTAACCAAAGACCACGC